TGTGTCTCATCATGTGTCTCACTGTGTCTCCCTGTGTCTCATCGTGTGTCTCACTGTGTCTAATTGTGTCTCATCATGTGTCTCACTGTGTCTCATCATGTGTCTCACTATGTCTCACTGTGTCTTATTGTGTCTCATTATGTCTCATTGTGTCTCATCATGTGTCTCTTTGTGTCCCACAGTCTGACAGGATGGAGGACCAGAGGTGTTCCCTCCCTGACCTGGATGATGTGGTGGGTTCAGTTCCTGAGGGACAGGAGGACTTCTTCAGTCTGGTTCAGAGGGTTCAGTCCAGGAGGATGGACGAACAGAGAGCATCACTGCTGCTAACACACTCCGAAGATGGCCACGATCCACACATCAACACACACACAGCAGGCTCCTCCCCCCATCATCATCATCATCATCACTGATGAAGAGCAGGGCCCACAGGAACTGCTCCTGTGTGTCAGACTGTGGAACCCAGTCTGGATCTTTCATCGGGACATTTGAGATTATTTTAGATGTTTCAGTGAATCAGTAATTCAGACTGTGTCGTCATGGAAAAAACAAAGTGACAATGAAATGGTGAATGCACCCTGAAGGTCTGACCTGAGAACAGGACAGAGGGTTGTGACTGCAGTTTAAGGTTCCTGTAGAATTTGTTTTATGAGAGGTTTCTTGTGACTCATGATATACCTGACACACCTGACCTTCGTCCTCCTGTCAGGGACACATTGCTCAGAGCAGTGGAGGAAGAGGACGGTTACCTGGAACGTTTGGACAGAAACAAGATTTAAAATATTTCAAACATCATCTTTACTCCTGTTCTGAGGAAGGAAATACACTCAACGTGTTTATTACACCTCAGTGGGCCTAATGAGTCCCTGAATGACTTCCTGAATGAGTTCCTGAATGAGTTCCCAAACTAGTTCCTAAATGAGTTCCTTGATGAGTTCCTAAAGGAGTTCTAGGATGAGTTCCCCAACGAATTCTGGAACAAGTCTCTGAAGCAGTTCTTGAATGAATTCTTGAGCAACTTCCCTGATGAGTTTCTGAAAGAGTTCCCAAACAAGTTCCTGAATGAGTTCCTGAACTAGTTCCTAAATGAGTTACTTGAGTTCCTTGATGAGTTCCTTAAAGAGTTCTAGGATGAGTTCCTCAACGAATTCTGGAACAAATCTCTGAAGCAGTTCTTGAATGAATTCTTGAGCAACTTCCCTGATGAGTTTCTGAAAGAGTTCCCAAACAAGTTCCTGAATGAGTTCCTGAACTAGTTCCTAAATTAGTTCCTTGATGAGTTCCTAAAAGAGTTCTAGGATGAGTTCCTCAACAAATTCTGGAACAAGTCTCTGAAGCAGTTCCTGAATAAGTTCTTGAACAACTTCCCTGATGAGTTTCTGAATGAGTTCCCAAACGAGTTCCAAAATTAGTTCCTGGGCAAGATCCCGAAGATGTTCCAGAAGGAGCCCCTCAACAAATTCTTGAACAAACTCCTGAGCAGGTTCCTTAATAAATTCCTGAAAAAGTTCTTGAACGAGATCCTGAATAAGACAGCAGCATTTAACAACTAATAACAGCAACAGGATGTTTTATTTTGGTGGTACAGATCAGAGAGAACAGACAGATTGCAGATTTGATCTTTGTTTAAAAACTTGAGTATCAGAGTTCTGATTCTCACAGTTCTGGGGCCTAGTTACAGAAAATGATCCTCACTGCTTGTCATGTCCAAAGTTCTGAAGTACAGAAACACAACACCCAGGTGGACGTGCTAATTTTACACCCTTTATGGGCGAGCTGCCTGTAAAGGGTCTAGATCAGTCTGTTTTGGGTTTGACATTCTCATCGGCCTCCATGCTGCTCTCTGCAGTTTACTAACCTGTTTTCAGGCCGTGTGTGACATTGAAAGTGACACAGCAGAGAGCAGAGAAAAATAAAACCAGAGCATCATACTGGTCTAGTGCACAGCTCTGCAGCAGACCAGTATGACTCTCCACTGTCAGTGGGAGAGGAGTCTATGTTAGCAGGTTTTCCAATGTTTAAAAAAAAAACACCCATACTCGCACTAGTTTTAGATGAAAGGTGGTGAATCTCAACATCTGGGAGTTGGTGTTGTTCCCCTTCTTCAGCTTCACCGCCGTACAGACACATTTTCATCAGTTCCTTTGACGTTAGGATGTACGGAGTCTTTACCATCCTGATTTAAGATTCCTAACATGAGAAGCTTGTCGGTTGTGTACGAGCTGAATTCCTGTTCTGACCTAAGACAGTTTTAGTTTAAGATTTGTTTTTCTACATGCAGTCAGGAAACATGTTTCTGTGACACCAACAATCCAAATGTCTTCCTGAACTGAGAAATGATTTCAGACTGATGAAGTTTCTGTAACGACGCCGTCAGACCTCATGATGAGATGAAGTGTGATGATTCCCGAGCACGGCACCGCTGCTGCTCACCGCTCCCTCGGGATGGGTCAAATGCGGAGAACAAATTTCACACACTCAGGTGTGTGACAATCAGTGGAACTTTAATCTTAATCTAGGTGTCATGTTTAAAACCACAGAGAAGTTGTCTCGACACGCTGCAACTGCGTCTGACTGATGTCAGCTGACTCCGCCCCTCCAGACTGCAGACAGAGGTTTCTGTTTCTCAGAGAGAGGTTTTTCTTACTTCTTGTCGTCCGACTGTTTTCAGGAAGTAAAATGGATTTTATGTTTTTTCTTCATGTGACGGACTGAACAGGCGTGTTCAGTGTCAGTGTTTTTTGTCTCCAGACGGCTCGCCGCTGTGTGATGTCATACGTAAAGAAGATATCCTGTGATGAGACATTTATCTTCTTCTCTGAAACTCCATGACGACCAGTGAGGATGTTTGTCTGTCCCGTAGCTAGTGTCTCTGTGTCTTTAGAGACGATAACACGTTACTGATCCTACTGATCTATTAAACATCAGATTTGATTCTGACCCACAGACAAAGAACTGAACTGAAACACGACTTATTTCTTAACCTGAATATTTCACATTATGCATCTGAAGAGTTGAATTTGTAATGAACTGAAACTTTGAATAAAAATCTTTGTGCATTTTTATGTTTATGACTAAAATCACAGTTGATCATTTAGTTAAACGACAGGAGATCTGAATGTACCTGAAGTGTGTGAAGTAAAAGTCCTCATGGTTAAGGTAAGATATAATAATGTAATTATTGATCCTCACAGGGGAAACTCTGTCACTGCAGCAGCTCACTCACACACACACACACACACACACACACACACACACACACACACACACACAGATAAATCAATATTCAGTTCAATAAAACTTTATTTATCCTGACAGAAGTTCTTGTCCCAGAGAACGCTTCAAATACAGGAAGTGAATCTGAGTGACGTGAACTCGTCTATCTTATTAACCTGCCATCTCAGGTTCCCATAACGATAGAGGGAAGATTCAACCTTTACCTCCTCTTCGCCAGCGTTCATCTCTTCCTCCTCCTCCTCCTCCTCCGAAGCTTTGTGGGGATTTCAGGTCTCACTCAGTCCAAGCTGTGATGTTGGAGGCTCATCAGCTGATCTCTGGTGTGGAGCCCTGACTTGACTCCACCAGGACAGGACGGAGGTCCGACACAATAAAGAACGTATGAAGCCATGTTGTCATAAATGTATCTGACCACACTGCTACAGGACGACCAACAGACGACCGTAAAGACAACATGACTAAGAGGAAACAAGGCCATAAAGACACAATACGACGAAGAGCGACTCTGACAGGCTGCCGGTGGAGACAGCGTCAGAGGAGAGTGAGGTCAGAGGTTTATACAAAATACATTTATTTATATAAAAACTGAAATGAACCAGCAATGAAATCAGAATATAAGCTAGAGTCAGAGATGTGACAAATCTCTGAACTCATCAAACACTGTAAAGCTTTGGAAACAGCTTCACAAAATAAATGTGTCACATGACCTCATCTGACAGGAAGTTTATGTCAGGTTCACATAATATTTGTTGTTGATTGGGCATTTAATTCTGTCATATGAACATCAAAACATCAAATACACTTTTCACTATTTACTATTACTTTTCAAAGTAAAAATCTAATTTTAAATTTAATTTGTTAAACTTCAATGAACTATGAAAAATAAATGTGGTGAGCTGAGGTTTCTCAACAACTCTGAAACAGGAAGTGCTCTTTACTTCCCCTTTGACAGCTTCCTGTCAGACCCTCTGATGTCATCACTGTGTTTACGACTGAACTTTGACCACCACATCAACTGTGACATACAGAAACATTCATCACTATGTGATGTCACTGATTTACAACACATTTAAACACAGTGCATGCTGGGAAACTCTGCCCATTCAGACCCAACACGCCACATGTTAATGACAGTGATGTTTATTGGTCTTAAATTAATTAGGTGAAATCAGCTTCATGAAGTTCAGTCACACGAACTCATGTCCCTGCTGAGACGAGGTGTGATCGATCAGATCAGCTGTTACCTATCAGATATTGATCAGCTGTGAGCATCTGTTCTCTCTGACTTTAATAAGAACATCTAAGAACCACATTTAGTTCCTCTTCTGTTCTCTGACAAAAACCTGCAGGAACCTCAACAAGTCCTTCAACAAGTCCTTCATCCCTGTCCTGACCTGCTGGAGAGGAGTCAAAGAACTTAGTTACATTTCAAAGAACAGAAACTGGGTCAGAGTGAGACACCCCCCCCCCCTTCCTGCTGCGCTTTAAGGCGCCCTGCGCATGCGCTGATGAAGAACAGGAAGTAAACAAGCAGCGTGTCTCGTTCAGGCCGCGTGCAGCCGCAGAAACAAACAGACGGTGAGTCAATAAATATATCAAATATGTAAAATATCCGGGTTCATGTCTGGATTCAGGGCCAGGACAAGACTCCTGCTCCGATAATCGAGTCTGCTCCCGGCTCTGGTTCCGGTTCTCCTCTGAGAGACGGTCTTATCTCCGGCTCTGGTCTCCCCCCGCGCGCTTAATACACAAACAACATGGCAGCGAGCGCTGAAGAACTCGTTCTCAAGAAAGGGAACGAGTTCTTCAGCGCTTTTGTGTGCTCACCTGTGTGTGTGTGTTCTAAGCGTTACCAACGCCAAGCTGGCAGACCCCCGAACCGTAGTAAATGGACCTCCAAAGACCATTAGCTCCTTTAGCTTGTGTTAGCTCGTTGTGGCAACGACACATAAACAACGGGACTTCGTCTGGGTTAAAGAACGGCACTTTATTTTCAGCACTGCAGGGATGATGCACAGCCTCTCTCATCAGTGTCTGACTTTTACATAGAGGGAAATAACTCAAAAACAGCATGCAGAACTGCGTAGGCTTCTTCACTGTGGCTGCTCGATGTAAACAACATAGCACATGCCTCACTTTCTTCCTGGGGCACATCCGTCTAACGTCACACACCACACCCGGCGCACTAATGTCTCATACCTCCTACATCAACTACACACATACACACACAAGCCACACACATCAGGCTCAGCCTGTAACATAAGGCTATTTAGTTTGTTTAATAAAAGGACAAGGTATAGACCTGTTCTATAGGAAAGGTAACCTTAAATGACTTCTGTTGTGATCCAATGTGATGGTAGGGGAAACAATGCCGTATGGGGTCCGGTGGAAAGTGATCACAGATCGCCATATATATTGCAAGAGATATGGTGCCCATATATAGGCTACTGTGAAAAGGCTGGGGTTTATTCACATGCTGAAAGCTTTGGACCCCAGGTATGTGCTACCAGGCTGCAAATATATATATATTTTTTTAACTAGGAGGGGGAAAAAATCGATTTAAATCATGAATGGGATTTTTTGTGAAAAAATCGGAGATTTTTTTTAGGCCATATTGCCCAGCCCTACTGGGCTCAGTGGTTCAGGTCTGGGCTCAGTGGTCCAGGTCACTGACTGTTGTCTGGTCTGTGTGTTTGTGTTGTTCAGGGTTCTGTGTTAAAGGTTCTCCTGAGGTCTGTAAGAAACCAGTCTTTATCACGTCCACTAACAGAACCACAGCAGTTCGGGTTCAGGTCTGGGGTCACGTTCGGGTTCAGGTCTGGGTTACAGAACCACTGTGATCAGCTGAACTGTTCTCTGAAGAACGACTGACACAGAGAAGAACAGTCTGATTTTACCCTTCTCTGTCTGAGAACACAGAGAACCATCAGATTATCAGTGAGTTAATAAACACAAACAGAACCTCAGAACAATAAACTGAGAAGAGTCAGAACCAGACACTACGGTCTCTTCATCAGGAGAACAGATCCTGCAGAACAAACGTCATACAGTCTATCTCTATACTTTTTATTCAACTGAGAAACTTTTAGAACTGAACTCTGTAAATTAAATTTAATAACTGAATTTAATTATTTAGATTTTTATTTCAGTAACATGTTCTGTAGGATCTGTTCTCCTAATGAAGGGACCGTAGTGTCTGGTTCTAACTGTTCTGTTTATTGTTCTGAGGTTCTGTCAGTGTTCATTAACTGAGGCTCACTGATCATCTGGTGCTGGTGGCTCTCAGACAGAGGAGGGTAAAACCAGATCTGCTGCTCAGTGTGTACGTTGCTACGCTACATCAGTCTGTACGCTGCTACGCTACATGGGTCTGTATGCTGCTACGCTACATGGGTCTGTATGCTGCTACGCTACATGGGTCTGTATGCTGCTACGCTACATCAGTCTGTACGCTGCTACGCTACATGGGTCTGTACACTGCTACGCTACATCAGTCTGTACGCTGCTACGCTACATGGGTCTGTATGCTGCTATGCTACATCACTCTGTACACTGCTACGCTACATCAGTCTGTACGCTGCTACGCTACATCAGTCTGTACGCTGCTACGCTACATGGGTCTGTATGCTGCTACGCTACATCAGTCTGTACGCTGCTACGCTACATGGGTCTGTATGCTGCTATGCTACATCA